GATTTCGATGAAATTTAGTATACAAATAGGCTTTAATCTGGAGTATCATATAGCTTACTGTTATGATGTATATGTAAGTCTAGATATTACATAATCACAAGTCTCTGTGTTCTCTCTCTTTGAATCTTAGGCTATGCATATATAACAAGCCAAGACTTGTAATGTATTACACATGGTCAAACAAAGCGTAGCATAGTAGTTAGGGATCTGTGACATTTGATATATGAATCTGCTTAATAAAACTATAACTGGAGCTTAGACAAGATGGTTGATGATATTCTACAATCGTTGATATATAGAAATCTGCAAAAATATATGGGAATGTCGTAAATTACAATTGTAATATGATCTAAAATATGACAGATAATCTCTATATATTTTTTTTAGAAAATGACCCTATATACATTGACAAACTTAAAAAGTAAAACCTTATCTAAATATAAAATTTCCAAATCGTTAGAGACGTTTCGGAGATACACGAAATAAATTATCCCATTAATAATTATTATAAATGCGAAAATATGCATGGATATTTGGATGTTTGTTACTCAATTGTTTTCCGTTCACCCAGAACGGTTAAACGGATCCGGATAAAATTTTGCACAAAGAAAACTGTAGTCTGGAATAGCACATAAGCTACTTTTATTTTCTTTAAAAATGTACGGTTCCCGTGGGATAGATTTGTTTGTATTTTTCACTAGCGATGAACCCGAGCAAAGCAAGGATGAGCCGCTAGTTATACTATAATTAAGAAAAAAGAGCGAAATAACGAATTTCGTCACAATTTAATGAAAACTAATAAATAGATCATTAAAGTAAAAAATGGACGACAGTTTAATAACGGTTCTTGTCAAAGCTGGTGGATAATTGCGATACTGCGTCGTAATGTATTTCACGTGTGATTACATTGCTTCATTTTGCATTCCCATTGGAACCTAATATAGAGTAAATTGGGGTGGTTTGGTGGTGTCCTAGGGGGCAAGCTCACTAATTTATACCCTCATACGCACTTAATATTCTGTCACAGAATATTTAGTAAATATCATAATTCATATTAATCATATCATATACTGAAAGCTAAGTTAGCTTTCAGAATTGTCTGTAATTCTTAAGTTCTGATGTAATTTGAAGTTAAAAAAACAGTTTTTTTTTGTGAAATCGAGTATATTTTTGAGTTAAATGTTACGAATACGATATTGGTATTTTGTCTTCTTAAGAGTAGATAATATCGAACCACTATGTCATTTAGTATAGATTACTCAGAGATGAGATATTTTCCATAGTAAAAAGTATTCTATATGTTGACCCGGATAACCAGCTATCATCATACCAAATTTCATGGAAATTTGTCCAGTGGTTTTCTCGTGACGCACTCCCGGACAGACAGACAAAAATTATAAAACTATAGATTCGGCCTCTGTACCAAAATAAATGTGTGATTGTACCAGAATAATGGCTATTTCAATAAGATTTTAAATTTAAATTATTTTAGATCTGTTTGTATTTCTGTTTGTCTTAATGTCTTAATAAAAAGTTAGACGACACGTTTGGCTCAGATTGTAGTGACCCTACTTTCTGTGCCAGCGGTCGCTGGTTCGAGTACCTCTGGGGGCATACATTATCTATACGTCGTAGCTTACCATGGAACTAGATGGTGTGTTAATGTCCCAACATATTTATTATTTATTTACATAGTTATACAGTATACAGACAAAACCCGGAAATAAGCTAGTACATTCAATATTACAATACACATTCACTCCAGTACATTTCGAACGTACGACCTCTCTATGCATCTTTGATAACTGTAGAAAATAGACCACTTATTCTTATAGCATCATAGCTATCTTCTATGAATATGAGACACGGTCGAAATGTACGTATAGGTCGTTTATTTAATACAATTTTTATTTGAAGTCATTTTTGTCGAAACTATGTTAATTTGCATATACATGGCTTTAGGTTAGGTTAGGTTATCGGTCAGTTATAGCGGAATTTGGTTTTCTTTTGCTTGAATGTGAATTTTCTAAATAAGAGTTCTGTACAAATCCTTGTAGACATTTTAAAAAGTGGGTACCTACTCAATTTGTCTGTATATTTGTAGATCTGTATGTTTGTTATGCGGTACCTTCGCTAATTATATATAGATTTTCTTATAGATATCTATTTTTATGAGGGCGGTATAAATTCTTTAGTGATTATAAAGGTCAACTTTTTTTATTTTATTTTTTTATATATGCAATCCAATCTGTAACCGCAAATATAGTTTTACAAATATATTGGATAGAAATAGTTGTAATTTAGAGCTAGATACATACTTCGTATGCATGTAGGTATCGGTTATCTAGAGTATACAAATAAATTCTATTTTAGGTCTTGTATATGTATTAATACGCAAATGACACATATATTTGTGCTATATTAGTTTTATGAAATTTGATATTAAATTATTACTATATGAAATTATTTTAGTTTTGTTTTTAAATATTTTATACGAAACACACAAAAATTAAGCACTATTGTTCTACTCTCTCGTTGACATTAAGGTCAAGGTTAGGTTAGGTTTTGTGTAAAAACTATTCGATTTTAATCTAATTTTGTATTATAATTGTATAGGTACCCAGGCAACATAAATGGTACTTCTTATCTCGAAAAATAAAGGAATTTCCCAAGGGAGAAAATAGGTATATGAAAATTCTTGAATTTTGCAAAAAACTATTGCATAGATTTCGTTATGAATTAATATGATTATTACTTAGTAGTAAAGTAGCCATTTAAAATAAATTTTATATCTTCAGACTGGTTTCAAAAAGGCCGCCCCAAAAAATTGTAAATAAGAGAGTCACCTAGGAATGCTACTTAGAAATATTAATGCACAAGAATGGATCCCGTGATCCCTCTCATAGAGGCCAGTGCCATATAAACATATTGTGATGCACTACGACTTCACTGAAGAGTAATGTAGAATAAATCTGAATACTCCCAGTAAAGTTAAACATTTTAACGGGATGAATTTTAAAAGTTAGGAAATGTATTCGAGGTGTAACCTAAAATGCAGATTCCGTAAACTTTCACAGTCAAAGCTTTGATGAAAGTTACGTTATTGAAAACGACTTTGAATTGTATTTTTACTACAATATAATGTATATTTTGTTGTAATTTTTTTGCTCCTAAGTATGGGAACTTAATTTGTGTAAAAGACCTTTTTGACATCTATACATATAATAAAATTATAACTAAGCCGAATCTGTACATTTATTTTTTTTGGAAAATTGATACAGAGGCGGAATCTATAGTATTTAGAATTTTTGTCTGTCTGTGTGACTGTCTGTCTATCTGTTTGTCTGTTACCGCATCACGGGAATACCACCGGATAGATGTTGATGAAATTTGGTATGATGATAGGTGGTTATTTACCCGGATAGACAGACAGACATATAGGATACTTTTTATTGCGGGAAAATATCTCATCTCTGAGAAATCTATACTAAACGTTAAATCGTAACTAGGGATGAACCTGAGCAGAGTGAGGGTGAGTCTCTAGTTATAAATAAACCTATCTTTTCGGTTTATTTCGCGGATTTGTTTTGAGTTTTGGTTCCTGACTTTTCGAATACGTTACTGTTATAAACCAAACTATTGTATGCGCACGCAAAAACCTAAGAGTCTGTGTCACATCATTTTGACTTGACAGTGACAACTGTCACTTGACTTATCTATGCGCCGGCGACCCCTGCTGTCGCCCTTGCCGTTGGAACCTTTGAAATATACGCCGCGTGTTTGATTCATCTCGGTAATTTTGCCCTTTTTTGTGATGGTTTTTTGTGTGGCATATCTTAGATTGGACTGTTAAATAAGACGTGCAAATAACATATTGATAATTGTACATTTTGATGAGCACGGGGCCCGTTTTGAGTGCATAATTGCATCGCCCACGTGCCGACGTAAAACTTGTTAAATAAGAATCAATTGACTTTATTTTGTACTTATATGAAAGTGAACTGACAATTCAGTGTAAACTTGTGCGTATTTGAGTGCCTACGCCGTATGTCGGCCTTCTAGGCGCATCCTGGAGCATCTTCGTCCTGCCACCTTCAGTTGAGTATAATCAGTTAGCATTAGACGTTATGATTGGCCAATTGTAGTTTAATGGTAATTAGATTTATACCTAAGGCAGCATCATTGAAGGAGAAGAACGCAAGGTACCTTTTTTTTTGATATATATAAGCGCTGTGTATCGCAGTCATATGTTCGTCCCCCTTGAACCTGGAGACATTTCACGCTTCCACTCATCACTCTGGTAAAACCCCAGGTCGGATGTAACATCTTTTGGTAGCAGAGCGTAGTTTGGTTATAGATATTAAATGTATTGTATACGCTCGCTACTTTGTGTAAAATTAATTACAAGTTATTGTTACTGAACTACTTAAGATTTCCATTTTATATGAAACAATTCATACTCTTTAAATGTGTATGTGAATATTGTAAAAGCTCAAACATAAAGTTTATTATTAAACTTATATAATTGTTTGTATTAATGATTTTAAAGTTAACTTGTTGATAAAATACTTTAATTTGATTCATGCATATATGCAGTATTTGGGTTACTTAAAGTAAATTTAGTAATTTGTTACTTTAAACATAGTTTTATAAATTGTTCAGTATATTAATAATTAAACTTTAAAAGTTTTGTATTGTTTTTTTTTGTTGTACTTGTTGTTGCTCAGTTTATTGTAAAATATAATAACTTTATAATAAAAATATAATTAAACTGTACTTAAAATAAATATAAATATAAGTAATTTAGATCATAATTGTTTGAACATTTGCCTCAAGGATTTGTTTTATGTTTTTTTTTGTACTCCTATTTAGGTATATATTTGAGATTTGATATTTGTTTAAAGTGATAACACTATTGTCTCATTTGAAAGTTATAACTTTGTTGTTGTTATTACAATATTATTTTGTTTTGTTTGCTTGTGTCCTTTGTGTTTTTGAAGATGGCTGCCGCCGCATTCACTATTGTCCGTGACTCATATTCCGGGATTGTGGCTCACCTGAGATGGTTCACTTCCGCTGCCGCATTGGTGAATAGGGAGGATCGTACAGAGGCATTGTTGGATAGGCATGAGAAATGCCCTACACGACTCAAGGAGGTGGAGGAACATTATCAGCGCTTCATCTCACATCTGGATGATGTACCTCTGGAGTCATTCCCGGAGCATCGGCGGGAACAAGTCCATGAGGACTACACCCAGATTATGAACCTGGCCGACGACATCGCCCAACGCGCGCGAGAGGTTTTAGCCTCGCGTGCCGGAGTACCGCCTCACAGCGCTCCCTTGAAAACTCCCGTGGGCCTTTTGACAAAGCTACCCAATTTAGATCTTCCACGTTTTGATGGTCGGTTAGACACGTGGCTGGGATTCATTGGATTGTTCGAGTCTTGTAGACTCCAGGGACGATTTGGGCCCGTCTCAAAAGTTGGCCTATCTGCTCTCTGTGCTCGATGGAGAGGCGAGGGGCTTAGTGCAGCACCTCCCCATACGTGACGGGAGCTATGAAGTCGCACGATCATTGCTCACTAAGCGCTACCACAATGAGCGCTGCCTGGCCGATGCCCATATCGACCAGATTATGGACCTTCCCGTCGTGAGCAATACCGCCCAGTTGAGGACCGAGCTGCTCAACCCCCTCCTAATAGCCACTAACTCTCTCCACCGCTTGGGACTGCCGGTTGCCCAGTGGTCTTATTTACTGGTGCGTATCGTACTTAAGCGGCTGCCGGTGTCCTTGAGGGCACGCTTTGAACAGGGGCACGCTAGGGATGAGGCTTCTCCTCTCCCTACTTTTGAACAGCTCCTGACCTTCCTGGAGGACGAGTGTCGCATGGGTGACGTTATGGTCGCCTCTACGCCGGTGGGAGCATCAAGTCCCAGACCCACCAACCAACGTCGCACTGCTCAAACTGCGCCAAGGGGAAAAATGACTTCCCGCTTTGCTGTCGCTCAGGCCGCACGACCGGTCTGCCGATTTTGTAAGTCCCAGGGGCACAAAACGGCGAAGTGCCCGGAATTTGCAGCGCTGCATGTGGCCGCTCGTAGGCGGATTGCTCAGGCCCGAGGCTGGTGTTTCTCATGCCTAGGGGACCATTATCAGCGCGCCTGCCCCGACACGCACCCGTGTCCTGTTTGCAGAGGGCAGCACTTGAAACTGCTGTGTGCCAACGCGAATGGCCGCCGCGACCACGCGGGGTCGCCTTCGGGCGGGTATGTGAGCGGACGCCGGGACCAGTCCCGCAGTTTTGAGTCCGGCTCATCCCCCACACGCCGCGCAGATTGCGCTGCCGTTGATCGCCGACATGGTTCGGTGCGCAGCCCCACGGGCGGGTATGTGAGCGGATGCCGGGACCAGTCCCGCAGTTTTGAGTCCGGCTCACCCCCCCCTCGCTGCGCAGATTGTGTTGCCGTTGACCGCCGACATGGTTCGGCGTGCAGCCCCACGGGCGGGTATGTGAGTGGACGCCGGGACCAGTCCCGCAGTTTGGAGTCCCGCTCGCTCCCCTTGCCCTCGCGTGACCAATTAAGGTCACCTCAGGTTGTGTACCACGATTACTGTGATGCAAGTCCGGTACGACTGCCATCCCCCCCTCTGGCGGAGCGTCCCCGTTTGGAGTCGCGCAACCCTCGATACGGACGCTCCAGGGGCTATAAACCACCGACTATGGCTCGTGGCAGTCGTCACCGAGGGGAAGCAGAGTTCAAACCCTTCCCTCATTCTGACGCGCCGTCCCGGCACTGCGGCGTTCGATCGCCGCCACGCAAACATTAGGATGTCGGCGTCTGCCCCCGCTATGCACCGCCCCCTTTTGAGACCGTTCTCTTGCCCTCGGCCTATGTCAGGGTCTGGGGACGGACGGGTGCCTCGGTTGTAGTCCGAGCGATATTGGACACAGGCTCACAAGGTTGCATAGCCTCGTCTTGGTTGGTAGGGCAGACTGGCCAGACTATTAAAAGGTATTCAGATGTAATCAGAGGTGTCGGGAACGCCCCTGTGGCCACGGTTAAGGGCCGCGTTTGGCTTGAGTTCTCCCCCTCAAATTCTCCACGCCCGACGTTGGGATCGTCCGCCATTGTGATGGAGAATATCCTGGGCAGCCACCCGCAAGTTCGATTGTCTGCGGATGCGGTAAAATTGACCGCTGGTTTGAACTTGGCTGACCCTAAATTTGACCTACCTGGCACGGTAGATTTGTTGCTTGGTGCCGATGTTCTGGGCAAAATATTACTTGGTAAGGATCGTGTTTTGCAGCCAGGTGGCCTAGTGGCCCTCCAGACCATTTTTGGGTTCGCATTGATTGGGCCTGTATTGAGGGTTTCCCCCCCTGCCGAACTTGGAACGGCCTTAATGGTGGGCTCCGCCCTTTCTGACGCCGTGCAGAGATTTTGGGAAGTGGAAGAGCCACCACAAGCGCCACGCTCTGATCCGGAAGATGAGGATTGTGAACGGTTCTATAATAATAACACCACTTACCTCCGTTCTGGCCGGATCATGACAAGATTGCCATTTCTCACCGTACGTCCGCCCCTTGGTGACTCGCGGCCTACTGCAGAGAAGCGTTTGCTGGCAATGGAGCACCGCATGAGCAGGGACCCGCTACTCAAGGAGAAATATATTGACTTCATGCGGGAGTATGAGGATTTGGGACACATGTCCGTGTCAAAAGTTGACTGGAGCTCGACGGAGCATTTTTTCCTCCCGCATCATGCGGTAATAAAACCATCAAGTGGCAAGCTGCGCACAGTATTTGATGGTTCTGCGCAGACCACATCGGGAGTGTCCTTAAACCAGTGTCTTCACTCTGGTCCCAAATTACTTAAGGACCTTTGTGACGTCATCACTCGGTTTCGGCGTCATCAATTCGTTTTTGTGACTGACATCAAGATGATGTTCAGGCAAACGGTAATTCACCCTGATGATCGACGATATCAGTTGATATTGTGGCGGGAAAACCCGAAAGATCCCATGCTTGTTTACGAGCTCAACACGAACACATACGGGCTACGGTCTAGCCCCTTTTTGGCCATCCGTTCGCTTTGGGAGCTCGCGGATCGAGAGCGTATGTCGTTTCCTCGCGCAGCCGCCATTTTGAAGGAAGACCTGTATGTTGATGACATATGCACTGGCGCGTCCACGGAGAGAGAGGCTCTCCTTTTGCGTGACGAGTTGATTGGAATACTAGCCTCCGCAGGATATGAGCTGCGTAAATGGATCTCCAACTTGCCTGCGCTCTTGGAGGGGCTACCGGATGACCACCAGCAAGATCCTCACCTCTTTGAGAATCGTGACAATCCTGCCATGATGACAGTACTTGGAATCCAGTACAGACCAGTCCAGGACATCTTCACATTTAACGTTGACTTGGATTCGCCTCATACTTGGACGAAACGACTGGTTCTTTCGACTGTCGCGAGAACGTTTGATCCCAATGGCTGGATATGCCCGGTCATATTCTGGGCCAAATGCTTCCTGCAGAGACTTTGGACTGCAGGTCTCGGATGGGACGAGCCACTCCGAGAAGCTGTTTTGGAGGACTGGCTCCTATTTGCTTCCTCATTGCCTGCCATCAATAGAATATCGTTACCCCGTGCTATGCTTCCTCCAGGGAAGTATACAGCGTCCCTTCATGGGTTTTCGGTCGCTTCGGAACGAGGGTACGCAGCAGCCGTATATTTGCGCACCGTGACTATAGATGGTCAGGTGAAGGTGTCGTTAGTCATGGCAAAGAGCAAGGTCGCCCCTCTTCGAACTGCGTTGACAATTCCTAAGTTAGAATTGTCGGGAGCGGCCCTTCTTGCTCGCCTCTTGAACCATGTCATGTCTACCTTGCGCCCGTCAGTTAACATTACCACAGTCTATGCATGGACTGACAGTCAAATTGTTCTGTGTTGGCTGAAGACGTCGGTCCACACCTTAGAGGTGTTTGTAGCAAATCGTGTCTCTCAGATCCAGAAATCGGAGACCCCGTTGATTTGGAGGCATGTGCCTGGTGAAGTCAACCCTGCTGATTGTGCGTCACGGGGATGCATGGCCCCCCTGTTGGTTGAGCACTCTTTGTGGTGGGGACCTGAGTGGTTGACTAGGTCAGAACCTAATTGGCCACGAACACCGGCCTTGGATGCTGTCGCGTTGCCTGGGCTGCGAACGCTTGCGATTGAACGGCAGGACCGTCCGTTCGACCCAGATTTTTTAATGAATCGCTACAGCTCATTGGATAAATTGCTGAGTGTCACCGCTTGGATCAAGCGCTTCATCAGAAATTGTAGACACCCACGGGACAAACGTTTGGAGGCGTTCTTATCGCCGCGAGAGCTCCAGGATGCTCTTCTTCATTGGGTTCGTTCTGTACAAGAAGCACACTTTGAGAACGAGATTGACATCTTGAGGAGGGGCAAATCCAAGTTGTCTGGAGCCATTTGCAAACTGAACCCCTTCTTGGACAGTGAGGGTCTTTTACGTGTCGGAGGGCGTCTTAGGAACGCAAACCTCCCTTATGGAGCTCGTCACCCCCTCCTGTTGCCCAAAAGTGGCCATTTGGTGAATTTGTTGGTGACTGATCGTCACATCAAGAACTCCCACGCCGGCTGTAATGCCTTATTGGCCATTTTACAGCGAGAATTTTGGATTTTATCGGCCCGACGGACGATCCGTAGCGTGGTCTTTCGCTGCATGCCTTGCTATAGGCTCAAGGCCTCTACCATGCAGCCTATCATGGGTGATCTGCCCTCAGATCGGGTCACTGAGATAAGGCCCTTTGCTGGAGTTGGTACGGACTTTGCAGGTCCCTTTTCAGTTAAGACTTCGACCCTCAGGAACAGTAAAACGGTCAAGGCTTACCTGTGCGTTTTTGTCTGTCTATCCACCAAGGCGGTACATTTGGAACTCGTCTCAGCCCTCTCTACAGAGGCCTTTGTTGCAACGTTAGATAGATTCGTGTCACGACGAGGACTACCATCCTTGATTCGGTCGGATTGCGGCACCAACTTCAAAGGCACAAACAACTATTTAAAAGAGATATGTGATTTTTTGGAGTCTAACAAGACTGAAATTGCTTCTAGACTAGCTAGTCGCAGAATAACTTGGAAGTTCAGTCCCGCGTCATGTCCCCACTGGGGAGGAATATTTGAAAGCGTGGTAAAGGTTGCCAAGACACATTTGCGACGAGTAATTGGTGAGTCTGTATTGACATTTGAAGAGCTCGCAACTGTGTTTTGCAAAATTGAAGCCGTCTTAAATTCACGCCCGTTATGCCCGATCTCTTCAGACCCTAACGACTTGGAAGCCCTCACACCGGGCCATTTTTTGATTGGACAGCCACTGAACGCCCTGCCGGAATACCCCCTTGTTGATGTGAAACCCAATCGTCTCTCGCGGTTTGAATTGGTCCAACAACTCACTCAGAGTTTTTGGAAGCGTTGGAATTTAGAATACTTGCACATTCTCCAGCAGCGCGTTAAGTGGACTGAAAAGACTGATCCACCTCATGTTGGTGACCTCGTTCTGGTTAAGGACGCTAACTCACCGCCACTGTGTTGGCGCAGAGGGCGCATTCTTAACCTTGTCTTTGGAGCAGATGGAGTGCCCCGTTTTGCTGAGGTCCGTGTGGACGGTTCTGTTCTGAAGAGAGCGGTATCAACCTTGTCACGACTGCCAGTAAATTAGCGGCCAGGTAGTCCTGGCCGAGGCGGGTAGATGTTATAAACCAAACTATTGTATGCGCACGCAAAAACCTAAGAGTCTGTGTCACATCATTTTGACTTGACAGTGACAACTGTCACTTGACTTATCTATGCGCCGGCGACCCCTGCTGTCGCCCTTGCCGTTGGAACCTTTGAAATATACGCCGCGTGTTTGATTCATCTCGGTAATTTTGCCCTTTTTTGTGATGGTTTTTTGTGTGGCATATCTTAGATTGGACTGTTAAATAAGACGTGCAAATAACATATTGATAATTGTACATTTTGATGAGCACGGGGCCCGTTTTGAGTGCATAATTGCATCGCCCACGTGCCGACGTAAAACTTGTTAAATAAGAATCAATTGACTTTATTTTGTACTTATATGAAAGTGAACTGACAATTCAGTGTAAACTTGTGCGTATTTGAGTGCCTACGCCGTATGTCGGCCTTCTAGGCGCATCCTGGAGCATCTTCGTCCTGCCACCTTCAGTTGAGTATAATCAGTTAGCATTAGACGTTATGATTGGCCAATTGTAGTTTAATGGTAATTAGATTTATACCTAAGGCAGCATCATTGAAGGAGAAGAACGCAAGGTACCTTTTTTTTTGATATATATAAGCGCTGTGTATCGCAGTCATATGTTCGTCCCCCTTGAACCTGGAGACATTTCACGCTTCCACTCATCACTCTGGTAAAACCCCAGGTCGGATGTAACAGTTACAGCAATCATGGTCACGGGAGAGACTCAATTTGGACTGACGTCAAAAAGAGTTACTAAAATTGGTTTTGTGTATTTTTGTGTACGTTACGCGTTAATCATAACTGCCCACCTGAGCCTAAAGTGCAGTAATAGACATTTTGGTCGGTTTTGAGTTAAATATATATTCTAAATCCCCATTTTAGTAGCTATCAGTCAAATTAATTCTTTTTTCTGTAGCGCTAATAAAAGTATTTTATTTTAATGTTTTTCGGAAGGTGTAACAGAAAAAATATCACAAATCTGTTAAAATATTCCATGTTTACCAGCTAAACCGCAGTACAATTAATACTGCACAAGATTTTTCTCTGTTTCCTAACTAAACTGCAGT